AAAATCCCGATGCACGAGCCTTTCAATGAAATGTAATTTAACCTTATGTTATTCCTGAAATTACCCCCACCCCTCTTTCTCTCTCTCTCTCTCTCTCTCTCTCTCTCTCTTTTGAAGCCGTCTCCGTTAGCCCAGTCGATGCAGAAAAGTAGAACGTTGTTACTCATATTGACGTACATGTATTTGTTCTTTATGTTTTGATAATAATTTAAGTCGGAAAAGTCCACCATTTGACATTTATGTCTTTACTTACAAACTTAAAACAGGATTTTGATATATATGTCAGTTGGTCCTGCCTGTACAGGGTTATAAATGTTATTGATGTATAATCTGCGTGTTTTCAACCAACAAAACAAATAAAGAAACAATATTACAGATCTCACGCGTAAATTGAAACCTGTCAATATTAGGGAAGAACGTGTATGTCTTGACGCCCCGAGGGCATTTCCGTTGATATGCATGCTAAGTTATTAAATATATACACATAATGAGTAACGCTAACGTAATTTAGGCTCGATCACTCCAGACGGATATTGTTCTGGATAGATTAGCAGGAATTGCCTATTTAATATCAAGGTAACATGGGGAAATGGGTAAAATTTTATCATTAAGCAGACTATGGATTTCCGTGTGCCTCGGGAAGAATGTGATTTACTGAACTGGTCGATCAAGACAGTATTTCTCTTAAGTCATTGTGTTCGATCCCTGCATTGGCCGAGAAAGTTCATCTCGATTTTCCGGCGTGGTTTCCCCTTGTCAGTGATGCAGAACGGAGGGCCTGGCAAGGACAGCTGCCTAGTCGTTCGGATGGGACGAAAAACCGAGGTCCCGTGTACACATTGGCGTACACGTAAAAGATCCCTTGGCAGTTGGAATTCGATATAAGAGTAGGCCGTAGCGCCGCTGCCCGGGCAAAATCAATTAGCCCAGGTTAGGTGCAGAAGAGTAGGACGTTAAACCCCATTTCATTTCATTTCATTTCTTAAGTCATTGCGTGCATATACTAAGAAACGGCTACCTTAAACACAGCTCATGCTATTCTGTGCATAAAATTTGGGCCTGGACAATCGAGGATCGGGACGAAAATCAGACAGAGAGAAAAGTGTGGGTTAACGTCCACTCGATACAAAATATGTAGGTCATTTGGGGACTAACATATGGTTCTATTTTATTTCAATGATTTGCTTGAGCGTAGGGGTCTTTAGCAATTGGGGGATACCGGAGGACCCGGAGAAAACCCTCGGGGTTGGACATGCGATCATACTCCATGTCATGGGCAGGCTGGAAAACGTAACCATGCCACTTGACTAAATGATAGACCTTAGAATCTAAATCGCACGCCTTAGACTACACCCCCCTCACCCGCACCCCCCCCCCCCCACACACACACCCACACCTACCGAGACCCGAGGCTAAAGCACTTTATTATTGGAATTACGTTAATATATTTTCTTTCCTACAGATCAAGGATCTGGAATAGGGAGCGACAGACGAGGTTCAAGGGATGTATGTGCCTCTCTCTTTCTAGATTTGGAATGGGATGATTATAGATTTGTTAATAAACTGGTGTTCTGTTGGCTCACCAATCTGGAGGTCCGGGTTCCGATCCCGGGGTTGGTCGAGCAAGTTCCTTGTGATTCCCTTTGTCACTGGTGCAAGGCGGAGGGCCCGAAAAGTACCGTGTGTGGTCGTTCGGACAGAGCGAAAAACCGAGAACCCGTTTACACGCTGGCGTGTAATTAAAAGAAACATTGAAAGTTGAAATTCAATATAAGAATAGACTGTCTTTAGTGCCGCTGACCAGGCAAAATGCCCCTCATAGCACGTACACTGTAAGGCCTACGCCCGTCTCCATTAGCCCAGTAGATGCGGGGAAGTAGGATGTTAAACTCTGTTTAATTCATTTCTTCTGTATAGTTGTGTATTGTTTGAGATCATCCAGATTTTCCGGCGTGGTTCCTCCTTGTCAGTGATGCAGGACCAAGGGCCTGACAAGAACAGATGTCTAGTCGTTCGGGTGGGACGAAAAACCGTGCACGTAAAAGATCCCTTGACAGTTGGAATTCGATATAAGAGTAGGCGTAGTGCCGCTAAGGCGTATGCCCGTCTTCATTAACCCAGTTCGGAGCAGAACAGTAGGACGTTAAACCACATTTCATTTCATTTCATTTTTCCGTATTGTTTAGTATTGTAACGGGAGACGGTAATCAATTACCAAGATACATCACTAACCAAACTGCCCAAGGCGAAAACCGTGCTAAGATCTCTCCCCCCCCCCCTTGGCCGCCTCCCTCCTTGGCGCCGTCACTGTCAGTGATCTATCACCAAAACTGCATGCTAATGGTATATAGTACTTATATTGTATTGGTGTGTGATCGCTGACTTTCATAGTTCATACAAACTAATTTATATGGCTTATTAACTGAAATTGACAATATAATTTATCTTGTATCATGTTGTTCTTTTTTTTGTTTATAAAAATAATATGCTAACGAAGACGAGCACGTGTCATACTATGAGAAAAGTTTACGCCTACTCTGCATCGAATTCCAACTTTGTAGTGCACGCCAATGTGTACACGGGACACTAAAGCCTCGATTTTTTGCCCATTCGAGTGACTAAACACCTTTCCATGTCAGATCCCTGTTCGTTTGTTCCTGGAGTTTTACGTTCACTTCCACCGACGGTGATATCGTAGACAAGTCAGACCCTTCGTTCTGCACTGCTGGTAAGGGGAAACGCGAGTTTCTCAGCTCCGGATCTTTATAAATGTATCCTGATTTCTATAGGTCCTAGTCACCATATGTATATAGCACTAGCAAGCAATATTATACTCAAACCAATATGGCTTTCAAGTTCGTAAGCATGTTTTTATTAGACAGTCGTCACGTAATCCAACGGAAATAGTTGATATTTTGATATATTGAAATGACCATAGGTTAACAAAATATATCACATTATATTTGTTTATGTTTTCAATTGGGGATCACGGTGGCTAGGTGGGTAAGACGCTGACTCGCTAGCCTGGGGGTCGGGTGATAGATCCCAGCATTTACCGGCGTGGTTTCCCCTTGTCAGTGATGCAGGACGGAGGGCCTGACAAGGACAGCTGTCTAGTCGTTCGTTCGTGTACATATTGGCATGCACTTTAAAGATCCCTTGGCAGTTGGAATTCGATATAAGAGTAGGCCGAAGCGCCGCTGCCCGGGCAAAATTTCCCTCATAGCACACTGTATGACGTATGTCCGTCTTCATTAGCCCAGTCGGAGCAGAACAGTAGGACGTTAAACCCCATTTCATTTCTGTGTTAGACAAACGAAAAGTTATAGGTCGATAAATGAAATAGGGTTTACTGCAACAACCCTGTTAATGATGAAGACGGCTATACGTATACTAAATGTCGAAGGTTCTTTTATGTCCCAGTCGAACGACTAGACACTTTTTCATGCCAGATCAACCGTTTAAACCTTACTGGAAAACCCCAGGGAATTATTTCGGCCAATACCTGGTTTCGATTCCCCGGTTGTACGTGACAAGGAGTAGGGTCGCCTGTCCAACCTCGTGGGTTTTCTCCGGATCCTCGGGGTTTCCTTCCACTGCTTAAAACCCCTACGCACAAACGAATTATTGAAATAAAATTGAACCAAATGTTAGTCCCGAGATGACCTGGTTTGTGTCGAGTGGACGTTAAACCCCATTTCATTATCTCTCAGTGAACATTTACAAGATATGACGTCAGAGTTTCATATCGATATTCGACCGTAATTAACCAATGACTATTATGAATGATAACTGTCTATGTAGTGACACTGACAATGAAATGGGGTTTAACGTCGTGCCGTTCTCCATCAACTGGGATAATTCAGTGTGCTACGAGGGAAATGTTACCAGGCAAGAGTGCTACGGCCTTCTCTTTCTTTCGACTTCCGGTCATCATGAGAACTTTAACGCGTTGATATACACAGAACTACCAGGGGCCAAATGACGCGATCGTCCCGCTCAAATAAAAACACAAAATGGGTTTCAATCTGGTTTAAAGCTCTACAACACCATAATAGTCAACTGTGTCAAGCATATACAGTGGTTCAGATATGCTACAAATTATGTTCCATATAGCCCAAAATTTCTCCACCCCACCCCCATTCCTTCTCACCAAGACACTAACTCACCACCGTCTCTCTCTCTCTCTCTCTCTCTCCCTCTCTCTCTCTCTCACACGTACAGATATTAAACTCAATCGTCATTTGCACGCACGTTAAACAAAAATCGACACATCCCGACTATATGTTAAAATAAGCTCCAGAAATAAGTTGTTTATCGATTTTATTTCTGGTCGTGGATCGACCTACCATGTGTGTGTGGTGTGAGAGAGAGAAAGAGAGAGAGGGAGAGAGAGAGAGAGGAAGAGAGGTGGGCTTTAACGTCTACCCGACACAAACTAGGTCATTTTGGGACAAACACATGGTTCAATTTTATTTCAATTATTTGCTTGCGCGTAGGGGTCTTTAGTAGTGGGAGGAAACCGGAGGACCCGGAGGACCCGGAGAAAACCCACGAGGTTGGACAGTCGACCCTGCTCCTTGTCACGTACAACCGGGGATTCGAAACCCCGCCAGTTGACTCAATGACAGACCGTATGATATTCCATATTAGGATAAAGGATATGCAATAAAATATACCTCTGGATCATTTACGTTTAGATGCGTGTTGGTCTGTAAAAGAACGGAGCAGACTGGGAATTCTCAGACATTATTCCACCACGATTGAGAGTTCTAACACACATATATATATATATATGTTATATATATCATGGTTAGTGCTAAATGATAAGGCCAGCTCAATTTTTCGTCATAGGCCACGAGATGTAAACAGGGCTAGCGCTTATCCCAACCCTAACCCTCGACCTAGCCCCGTTGCTTACCCTAACCCTAACTTACAATCCAGCCAACAATCACGTGCTGTAACAAAATCTCTCCTGCAAAAGACGTTTAAATATAACATTCTAATTTCACACACCAGTTTATTCCAGCGGTGACAGGCCTAATTATTGAAGTAACCGAAATAATAATATCATATCTATATCTCCCTAAGTTGACCGAGTCCTTTAAATCATCCTTGAAGACTCACTTATTTAACTGTAAATACCAAACGTGACAGTGCAGCTCAGCGCCATCGTGTAGAACAGTTCTAAATGAGAGGCGCTATATAAATTCATTATTATTGTTATAAGGTCCATATAAATGTATTCACAAAACAATGTTAAAGCGATGATTTCATATTTTTAAGTTATATTTTTAAAATGTATTAAAATAAAGCCTTAAAATAGATGGTATCTATAAACAGTCCTGCTTTGTTAAAGAATAATCCTATTAATCCTATAATTCACTATTGTCAGTTGAGAAATTGGCAAAAATATCATTTTCAACTTCAAATTCAAAAGTTTGAAGATAGCTATTCCATGGGGGTGGGGGGGTAGAAAAACAGGGGAGGTAATTGTGTTATTATTTCCGGGGTGAATGGTTTTTAAGTGTGAGAATGATACCTATGATCGTATAATAGTGAGTTGACAACCTATTGAGCAAAAGACACAGAAATAATTAGGTTTTGACTTTCTTAGAAAATATGAAATTTTCGCTTTAAACACAATTATTATACCGAAAGAAAGAGCTATTTTTCGGATCTTTTCTGTCTTTTGGCTCCTTTGCTAATGTCTACTGTTACTGGTAATCCTCTTTTTGTCTGTTTCGTTTGTCAGTTTACCTCTTTTTTTCCGGCTTTTCTTTCCATGTTTTTTGTTTTTATTCGATTTCTTGCCCCCTTTCTTCTTTTTCCTTGTCTTCACACAAACGACATTGTGAGCTAAAATTAAATACATTTGAGGTGGAAGGCAATGACAACTAATTCATTGTTATGATTTACTAGAACATTATGGCGATTGCCGTTCTTCCGTGAAGCATTGCTATCTAAAATTACTCAATCTGATTAAAACACAGATCCTATTTCGTTTCGTTTTTTATAGTTCAAAATGTCGTTTTACTTGTCTTTACTACACTAGGATCTGGAAGAGTTGTTATATAACCTGCGTTCTGGATAGCGTGAGGGATTAGCCAATGAAACGGTCTGTACGGCGAGTTCTTGGAGTGCCCTGATTGATTAATTAATGTCTGACGTCATAGGGTCAAAAGCTGCTCGTATGACCCCCGACGCGAACTCCCAGTCAGATCTCCATGTAGTGTAGGCCATCGAAAGTATAAAATACGAAACGAAATATAGATCTGTATTTTAATCACATTGAAAATTAAATAGATTTGAGGTGGTAGGGCAGCGACAACTAATTCATTATTATGGTTCATTATTATATGATTTGCTAGAATATTATGGAGATAGCCGTTCTTCCTGTGAAGCTTTTGGCATATCTAATTCACAGACCATATTATAATTGAATGAAGACATCTTATTTGTCTGTGTCCAATGACGACGACTGGGACAGTGGGCCTGACAAGGATAGCTGTCTAGTCGTTCGGATGGGACGAAAAACCGAGGTCCCGTGTACACATTGGCGTGCACGTAAAAGACCCCTTGGCAGTTGGAATTCGATATAAGAGTAGGCCGTAGCGCCGCTGCCCGGGCAAAATTTCCCTCATAGCACACTGTGGCGTATGCCCGTCTTCATTAGCCCAGGTTAGGAGCAGAACAGTAGGACGTTAAACCCCATTTCATTTCATTTCTGTGACAGTGTTTGAGCTTGTTTGTGTCACTTTATGCTAATAAGCAACCCGCGATCAAATGAAATGGGTTTAACATTTTAGACCTGTCCACCAACCTGACTAATGTTTACGCTATCGGGGACGCTTTATGCTCATACAGCGGCGTTGTTATGGGACTTATGGTTCTGAAAGCAAAAATTAATGCAGTGGTTCTAAACCCTTGTTTTTGGAACACATCAAAAAATAACGGCACACCTGGTTAAATATATATGAAATATATTTGAATTTTGCAAAATAAAACCATGGCAACTCATAGAACAGCATTCAACCGTAGAAACAGACTAGTCATAGACACATAAAATGGCATACTAAATAACGACAAACACAGCTGTGACCTTACTTTATTGCAGTGTTTCGAATTGCATCAGTCAAATAGTTGGCTGGCTTCTATAGTGAGAAATTTTCTGTGTGCGGCAGCACACTGATTGAGAATCACTGTATTAATGTACATGTAATGTGTAAAGTGACTTATATTTAATTTTTGAAACAAATATGGTAATTTCTAATCAATCATGTTCGATGAAATACGTGAACAGTTGAAATCGAACGACAGTCGTTTACGCCTCCTTAGTGCATTCTACACGTTTTTTAAATCCTTATTTTGTCGTTTGTGAAACAGACTTTACTTCTTCATTGTGTTGTGGGATAAGTTTTTATTTGATCATTACAAAATGGCACCCAAAACATTATAAAATGTTACTTGTGTTTTAATTATTTGATATTAGGATTCTCTAGTTTCGCATTAAGTTAACAACATTGATTGAAATTGGTCAATGTTGAATTCTAATTTGTGTTTTTGATTTCGAATACCGAGTTAGAAACTTAGCTCCTTTAGGGCATGATCGACTTTTTACTATTAATACTGGTTAATACTGCATACTTACCAATCTGATCAAAACACAGATCCTATTTCGTTTCTTTTTTGTTTTTGGGGGGTTTTTTATCGTTCAAAATTTCGTTTTACGTGTCTTCACAACACTAGGATCTGGAAGAGTTGTTATATAACAGGCATTCTAGTTGATGTGAGGGATTAGCCAATGAAACGATCTGTTACGGCTCTGCAAGGAACTTTAGGTAAACCCCTAGAAACGTCAATCAATGTCTGACGCCATAGGATCAAAAGCCGCTCGCATGACCCCTGACGCGACCTCCCAGTACAACTGGCAAGATCTTCATGTAGTGTAGGCCATCGAAAGTATTAAAAAAAAGAAACGAAATATAGATCTGTATATTAATCAGACTGCATACTTACCATCGAAATTATCATCGCATATCAATGGTTGGTTAGTAAGCGACGATTCCCCTAAAAATAGTATTAAAAATCATATTAAAACTGGTCGGAAATATCTGGCATCAAAACGTTCCCTAGTCGGGCGTTAAAATAATGTGTCAAAACAGCTGTCGGGCGTTAAAATATTTTTTTTTTTTAAAGAATGTGGTTCTTGAGTAAGGAGTCGAGGTTGTGACCATTTAACTTGGCAAGGTGTTGATGAGCGAGGAAGGAGATATCAGGTATGTTCTCCATTGCGGCCAACTTTAAATGTCGCATCTGATTCGTGTGAACCTACAATATGAATCACATAATATGGCTTCACTTTGATTTTATTTGGGTATGATAAACGCCGAGACCATAACATTGCTCCTGTGGTATTTAGTAATCGAACTGGAATAAACAGGTCACAATTCTATGGAATACAATTACTGCTTATTACCGAGCGATGTTTCCACTAGGCTTCTTTAGTCATTATCAAGCTATGATAAAATATGAAAATATAACAAAATATACATGTACACAACAATACTTAGTTAATGCTGACCAACCAGAGATACCTTTTAATTTAAATGTATCTAAAGAAGACCTAACTTAGTTAGGGATTACAATTGGGTACAATATATCGGCTTCCTTCTGTTCTTTGTATTTGATCGATGAGTTTGACTGCCACATCTCCAGACTGATGTCTGATAAATTACTAAATGCCACTGAAATAATTTATCTCTGGTTGGTCAGTATTAATCAAGTTTTGTTGTGTACATGTATATATTGTCTTGATGATGACTTAGAGAGAGAAACCTAGTCGAAACGTCGCTCAGTAATAAACAGTCATCATTGCTTGATAATGACTAGAGAAGCCTAGTCGGAACGTCGTTCAGTAAAAAGCAGTTATTGTATTCCATAGAATTATCACCTGTTTATTGAGACCATAACCGTCACTTTAAACTCATATAGTTCACGTGGAATTACTGCGCCATTTTGGGGGGGGGTTGGATGGCTGAATGGTTAGCGTGCGCGCGCTGTATCACAAAGTCGGTCATTGAGTCGACTGGCGTGGTTTCGAATCCCCGGTTGTACGTGGCAAGGAGTAGGGTCGCCTGTCCAACCTCGTGGGTTTTCTCCGGGTCCTCCGGTTTCCTTCCACTGCTAAAGACCCCTACGCGCAAGCGAATTATGGAAATAAAATTAAACCATATGTTAGTCCCGAAATGACCTAGTTTGTGTCGAGTGGACGTTAAACCCCATTTCTCTCTCTCTCTCTCTCTCTCTCTCTCTGCGCCATTTTCATGTCTGTTCATATCCGCTATAATATGATCAATATGGCATAAAACCAGGAAGATTTTCGGATATTCTCAGCCAATAAATCAAAATGCGAGAAACAGAACTAGAAAGAATTATCTATGAATAGCTGGGGCTATATTCGTCTGTATGTATTTGGGAGGAAATATGGTGGTTGAGACCCGTTATTGCGGCACTAGTTGTCTCCCTTCAATTGCACGCTTTCACAAGGGGGGTGCTCGATTGAACGTTTCGGAATTTAATTCTGTCAAATCCAAAAATAGTGACAATCGAGTTAAAATGGGATTTTGGGCTAGAACGCATGTGCTAACTGCATGAAAAATTATCTCAACCAACCATGACAGCTGAAACATTTAATTACGTCACGATTCTACTCACAGCACCGCCGTAGTCGGGACTGACAGAACTGTGAAGAGGGCTGAATTCCGTGTCACTCAATTGCATTTCCGTCAATTCGGAACGTTCCGGGCCGCGACAATCGAGCATCCCCAAATTCAAATACTTACATCTATAACACAGAAAGTCATCATCTGCCATTTTGGATTTGAGTTCCAGGACAAGCCTAGGTTTTTTGCTCTTGGAGAAATCCATCGCATGTCCTTCTGGCGAGGTCAGAGTAAAGGAAGTTTTGGGTTTTTTAACTTTAGCCATCCCTCTTGATTTTTTCACTCCAAAACGCAAAACTGATTTTCCTTGTGGTTTGGAAAATTTAATAGTGAACTTCTTTCGCATGGAATTACGAAATTTACCAGTAATTTTATTTAAGGCCTTAGGGCACTCTAAAAAAACAAACACAGAAAGTTAAATAGTTAATTGACAAGCAAACCTGATTTTTGTAAATATTAAATTTCTGAACAAAAATGATATTATTAACGTGTGTAATAATGTTAGGGGGAATTCAGTCCAGGCAGCGAGGTATCCCTGAAAGGATTTTATTACATGCACTACCTCTGAGTATGGTGGCTCTGAAGTTTTAGTCGCTCTAACAACGACAGATGTTACCCGGGCCCTTAAATTCAAATGACATTCAGTACGTTGTAAGATACACTTACAGTACGTCCTCGAAGGGATTAACACTGCAGTGGGACCTATGGTTTTTTCGTAAATTCCCCCCACCACAACCTCTCCTCCATCGACTTGATACCCCCCCCCCACACACACACACCTCCCTTGGCTATTTTGCAAAATCAGATACACTACGATCTGCGTTTTTGTCTAAATCGTTCTTTCACGTGCACATTCCCCAACAGAAGTTTGATCGGGGTTAAAATGAAACTAACACATTACCTTCACGGGAACACCGGAAGTCCACGTTACCACTGTTTTCACTCAAGGCCATCATACACTTGAATGTATCCTTACACGCTGATAGGAAACATTCCGAGGCATTTAACAGCTTTTTATCTTTATTTGAAACAAAACCCTCTTTCTTTTTGTCGCAGCTAAAGAGTTTCCTTTCTAATTTGCTTTTTTCTGAACAAAAGACAAAAACAGCGAATTATTTAAAAACAAATATAAAGATGCAGCACGCACTTCGTGTGAATTTGTCAATATTTCTACTGACTAGCTAATAGGGCCGTCGGAGCAAAACCTCCGACCCGCCTCCCATGTATACACCTATGCAAGGACTATGCAAAATAAAGGGTCTCTAACTTGACACTTGCAAAATAACGCATCGGGGTCCGATTGGGGTCTATCTATATTTCGTTTCGTTTTTTATACTTTCGATGGCCTACACTACATGAAGATCTGATCAGTTGTTTTGGAGGGTCGCGTCAGAGGTCATATGAGCGGCTTTTGACCCTATGACTTCAGATATTTGATTAATCAATCAGCATTGATGTTTCTAGTTACGTGCAGCTCCCTACATCACCCAGAACACGTCAATGATAACTCTTCCATATCTTAGTGTAATACACACAAGTAAAACGAAATTATGAACTATACAAAACGAACGAAATAGAATCTGTGTTTTAACCAGATTGTATGGCCTCCATATGGCTTCATGGGCTCTGCAGCTATGTACCGACTGCACCACCGCCTCCTTCTGACCGCGAGCCACACTATAAAGCAAATAACAGATGATCCAATGAAGATTGTGGTTTAAACAAGTCCGATTTCTTAACACTTAATTGATCAATATTAAACATACATTATTGCACGAGCTAAATCTGCCTATTGCAGGTCTTTACATACATTATACAAGAGCTAAATCTGCCAATGGCAGGTTTTTTGTTTAGGCTTGAAATGTTTTCTAAATTATTAATTAGACATTAATTAACTGTTCAAGGCAATGGTCACCTCTCGATGGCATCAGATTTCTCCGATATTAAATAGATTAGAAGGTTCATGCATATTTTGATTTAATTTAAAAATGGAGGAGCGAGACTTGGCTTCGAACAACCAGTACGGCGGTTGAAATTATTGCACACGTCTTGTCAAACCTTCAAAGGCTAATATCTTCGCTCACAATAGAGAAATGTGAAAGAAATTTTCAAATTATTCATTTTACATGATTACTTTTGGAACTATTATAGCAAGAATGGCTTGCTCTTTATCTAAATCTTACATAATGTATCTTTAATTTAAAGCCTCTATTAGCCATTTGTATTTTCGGACATTATCCAATTTTTCAAGGTTGAGATGTATTCAGATTAAAGATACATTATGGGAACTTAGACAAAGAGCTGGTAGTTCTCACTGTAATAGTTAAAAACTAGATAATGTAAAGAGAATTTATGGAAAATTTCAGTCAAATTGATCCATTCTGAACCGAAAATTTAGCGATTGAATTTTGGACCTAGTCTCGATCATCATTACTAGAGTCGGTACGATAAAAAACATAGTCTCGATTATCCACTTTTTGATTTAATCAGAAGCAGCAGACCGGGTTATTATAGAGTAAATATCGCAGGTTAGCGATGCCATTGAGAGTTGAATGTGGTCTGGATAAGTTAATTAATGTCTAATAATTTAGATAACATTTCAGGCCAAAAGAAAGACCTGCAATAGGCAGATTTAGCTCTTGCATAATGTATGTTAAATTATCTTACTGTCAATCAAGAAAAACAAAATTAATATATCAACAGTAGATAATCTCCCGGCTCGGATTCTATCGGATTAAAAATAGGCTCATCAGCAGATTTTAGCCAAGATGATAGATTGAGTTTAGCAGGTTACGACACCTGTAAGCTAATACCGTTGACTATTGAAGCCAGGCCATGAAATGAAATGGGGTTTAACGTCCTACTGTTCTGCTCCTGCTAAGACTGGGCTAATGAAGACAGACATATGCCATACCGTGTGCTATAAGGGAAATTTTATCCGGGCAGCGGCAATGTGGCCTACTTTTATATCGAATTCCAACTGCCAATGGATCTTTTACGTGCACGCCAATGTATACACGGTGACAAAACACCTACTTAATGACTAATGTCTGATTACTAACAATTTTAACTAAATAATACACATTATGTATATAAACTGACGATTTTGATCTATTAGTGTCGTATGTTTTCATTTATAACAGTTATTAGTTGCTTAGACAACGATATCAACATTTCAGGGTGACTATATCCCGTCTGTATAGTCTGCAGGGGGGTGCCGAATATTGATAAATTTTCAGTTCATTATATCAATTTGATTAAAACACAGATCCTATTTCGTTTCGTTTTTATAGTTCAAAATTTCGTTTTACTTGTCTTTACTACGTGTGTAGGCCATCGAAAGTATGAAAAAAACGAAACGAAATATTGTTCATTAAATTATTGTAAATAATATTACTTCCCTTTAGAGATCAAGATTGTAATACATTAAAAAATCCCTCAAATATCGATCAGCGATTTTAACTTACCGACAGGCAAGGAATTATTCTTTAACCCTTAAAAAAGAAATGAATTGCTGTGTTAATATTATTTATTAGTACTTACAGTGGTGTGCGGAAGGGGTAAATTATCCATATTTTAATTAAATAATGCTGGTTTTCTCCCAAAACAAGCCGTTTCTTGTAAGTTTTGCATTTGTATTTTAAAGCCGTTAATCTGGGCAATCTCTTGAAATGCCTAATATCTTTTCATTTAGTTCATTAATTACAAATGCATGATGAATACCATCTTCAATCGAAGGTTTGGTCTCGCTTTAACTCTGTACATCTTATCATGCCCTTCACGTAATACCTTGCTTAATTCCATTGGATACTGGCCCAGCTGGGGAGCCTATCCGATTCCTCGATCACCGCGAATACCAAGTCTCGCACTTTCCAGCTAAAATGTCTTCCTGTGATAATCGAGTTGCAAAGATCAAGATTCGTTCAATGTCAAGGTTTCCGTGGAGGTCGCCATGTTTGATTTGAGCGTGTTTGTGTCAAAACCTCTGATTGGACGCTACTGTTCACGTGTCGGCGGTACAGGGACATAACACTCTAATACTCATGGTATTATTTACCAGAAGTCAAAGCATAGTGGGAAAACGGCTAAACTGTTCATAGGGCTGCTGAATCATACAATAAAATAGTAAACATCCGGTTTCCCCAACTGATAATTAAAGGGAGGCAACCGTGTTTAAGGGATCAGACTAGTAATTACTTCTACGTCCAAGTCATGACATATCCTGGCATATTTATAAAATTCCGATGATCTTAAGTTTTATAACCACATATAGCCCAAGATAGCACAATCTGTAAGGAATCTATAGGATGTGGCGCCATTTTAATAGGTGATTCCCCTAAAGGAGCGCGTACAAATATCGGTGACGTGTTAAACGACATTTGGTCAACACACCCTGTGAACACTAATTTTGAACCTGTATACACTTTTATCAACTTTATCAACATTTTTTTTACTCTATTTACAATACAATTTTCAGAGAGAGAGAGAGAGAGAGAGAGAGAGAGAGAGAGAGGGGGGGTCTTTAGCGGTGGGAGGAAACCGGAGGAACCCGAGAAAACTCACGAGGTTCGACAGGCGACCCTACTCCGTGTTACGTACAATCGAAAAATCGAAACCACGCCAGTTGACTCAATGACGGACCTTATGATACAACGCGCAAACGCCTACCATTCGGCCATCCGCCCCAAACATTTACCAAAACGTAAAATGTAAACGATTCTAGACCAAAAAAGGCAACAAATTAACTGATGCAGTATATAAGCATACAATTCAGTATCATGAAATCCAACGAAGTAATAACCAGTCTTAAACATACATTATGCAAGAACTAAATATGCCTATTGCGGGTCTTTCTTTAGGCCTGAAATGTTTTCTAAATTATTAATTATACATTAATTAACTGATTCAGGCCATAATCAATTCTCGATGACATCGGATTTCTCCTATATTAAATACATTAGAACGGTTCAGCCATATTATAATTTAATTTAAAACTGGAGGAGCGAGACTTAGCTTCGAACAACCAAGACGATAGTTGAAATTATTGCACACGTCTTGTCAAACCTTCAAAGGCTAATATCTTCGCTCTCAATATAGTAATTGGAATGAGATTTTCAAATTATTCATTTTACATTACTATTTTCGAACTATTATAGCAAGAATGGTTAGCTCTTTATCTTTATCTTACATAATGTATCTTTAATCCAATTGTGTCAAATTTTAAAGTTATTTACATTTATATCTGAAGACGAATCCACTGAATTTATTCTCATGTCCGACTTCAAATTTTATTTTGACGACATCTTTCTTTACTATGGTTTTGTTTCCAGATTCCCATTTTTCTTCGTCAACTTTAATTTCATCATTGTCAGCAATATCCAAATTGATCAAATCCAACCACAGCTCCTGAAAAAAAACAAGAAATGGATTGGGGTTTAACGTCCTACTGTTCTGCACCGACATGGCTAATAAAGACGGGCATACGCCATACAGTGTGCTATGAGTCGCGCTACAACCTATTATTATATCGAATTCCAACTGTCAAGGGTTCTTTTACGTGCACGCCAATGTATACACGGGACCTCGGTTTTTCGTCCCATCCGAATGACTAGACAGCTGTCCTTGTCAGGCCCTGTATCCTGCACCACTGACAAGGCAAAACCATGTCGGAAAATCCAGATGAACTCCTTGCTATAGGACTCGTCCTCAGTAATATTTCTGTCTTTAGGTCGACTTACGACACAGCGGTTACCAATAAGGATGTAAGACTATACGGAAATGGAGTATCCTATTAGGATGTCTGTATGGAATATTTATTCAACATCGCAGTAATCTTAAAATTACCCACTGTTAGCCAGCGTTTAAATAGTGGGGGTTCAGGGGCGCCGGTCACTAGAAAATTTTGAAATTTGTCAATTCCGAGAACCCTGTTTACAATTTGTGTAATTGAAAAGGCTACATACTAATCATTTAAAAATGAATAGACTAGAAAAAAAGGTGAAAACTTTCATCATTAGGGCAAGGGTATACATGTATACCCCAGAAAAGGGCAGGGTACCATTTGTATACCCTGGTACTCGGACATTAAACCCCATTTCATTTCATTCATTTAATTTATTTTAGTCACCAGGCGCCACTAAAACACCTCTATAGCAGATACGGTTCAATAGGCCATAGTATATTGTTTTACAGTTATAAATACAATCTGATTAGTGCACATTTCGTTTCGTTTTATAATTATATATTTCAAACTTTCGTTTCATTACCTTCCTGACACAACTAGAGACTACGACACTACTCATGTCAAGCAGTGAATATTCGCAAGGCCACTACAATCAATTGGAGGGATGACATCACACTGATCAGCAGTGAATATTCGCTAGGCCACTACAATCACTGGGAGGGATGACATCGATGCAAGTTAATTAGTTCACAATATTAACTTTTTTTTCCTTCTGCAAATTTAATTGTAGAACATTTTTTTGAAGTTTTAGAGAGAGAGACTAACATATGGTTTAATTTATTTCAATAATTCGTTTTTAGCACCGGGAGGAAACCGGAGGACCCGGAGAAAACCCACGAGGTTAGACAGGCGACCCTACTGCAGGTCACGTACAACCGGGGAATCGAAACCACGCCAGTTGACTCAATGATAGGCCTTATGATACAGCGCGCTTGTGCTAACCAATCCGCCATCCAACCCTCTTGATGTTTTAGAAAAATAAATAATGGTGTTTGAAGTATATCTGGATGAAAACTATTCCTATTTAGTGTAAATGAGTTAAAGTAGTAAATAGTAAATTAGACTAAATAAGACCAGTCCTCACCCTAACCCAAATCAAACAATATATCAAACGCTAGCCCTAACCTATCGTAAATAAATCAAGTAGATATAAGAATCCCTAGCCCTAACCCGGTGATAGTGGGACAAACACATTTTTAGAAAATCCAATTCTTAGTAAGAAACACACTAATGTAGCCCTCACCCGAGAGTCTCAATTTTTTTTTTTTTCTTCAGAAACATAAATACTAGAATACCACAAACACCACCCACGTAAGACCACCACCAACACCAAAAACAGCGAAATCAACTTTGTATATAAATTTATAGAAATATCCTTGATCAGTGCTTATGTGCAGACTTAACATCGCCCCCAAATTCTTAAACCTAATCTACAATCTCGCCAACAATCCCAGGGATCTTGACGTAAATTGAGTTGGCCTTAACAAATAGATCTAGCCGTGCTGGGGGACATGGAATGTTTAATTACCGAAACGAAATATAGATCTGTAATTTAACCAGATTATTGTAACCTGACTTACATTAAACCCATCTGGTCTAGTTAGATAAGCTTTAGTTATTTGTTTGGTTTTATCAGCAGGTGGACGTTTATAATGCCAAGGATACTTAGAATGGCTGACGATTAGCCCCTCTTCTTTATCTATTTCTACATCAGCGCCATGTAAAAAGTATTTCTTCTCTGAAAAAAAATAGACATTTTAAAATTTAGTAATTTTAGTAGTGTTCGGATATTCGAACAAGAATACTATTCGAATATTCGACGGGTCTTGAAATTTGTATTCGAATAGTATTCGAATACTATTCGAATATTTTCAATTTTTAATATAAATATATTTAAAGTGGTTTATATTCAGTTTATTTAAATTTCTAATTATGAAATACGTGAAATTTCTGTTGACATGTGATCAATGCAAAAGATTATATTTTAGCAATTGCCAGTGGATCTTCTACGTAAACTTCCAATTTGTACACAAGACCTCGGCCTTCCATGACATCGCAACATGTATAGACGCGGACCTCAACCATACTCCAGCCATCTGCCATCTATGTATAAGGCTAGCACCCTTACAAGTTGCGGTTAGGTAATCTAATCTAAGTAAGCTTTGAATGTAAATGTGGCAAGGGAAGTCGCCTTTAATAATATTTGATAGCAAATAGAATAAATAATAGATATTCGAAAATATTCGAATATGGTAATTGCTATTCGAATATTCTATTCAACGAGCGAATATTAGAATATTCGAATATTCGTGCCGAACACTAAATTTTAGTATATGCTCATTTGAAACTATCTTATTTTGATAAAAACAAAAACATAAAAAGTCGTGAAAAATATATCCGAAATAGCCCAGATTGATACAATTGAGTACTCACTTGGATGAATGTGGTGGGGGTAAATTCGAAGTTTTTCTGATGTATAAACTAAATGGTTTTATTTATGAACTCTTAAAACAAAAAGAGTTTTGTTACAAAGTACAAAACCAAACTAAACGTGAAAGAATAATTCATTGTGTGATTATATGTATTAATATCATTTAGTATCAATAACGTCATATCCCCCGACAGTTTGCAAAATGGCCACACTTGCTCGGTTGTTGCAGAAATGTAAACGATTAACTATATTTAGATTCTCGAGATCGTGGTGAAGATGACGGAGTTTTGGGCCTGCACTATGAGCGTGATCGGAGGACTGGAATTTGGCGTATTAGCAGGAATTAAGTGGGGGGGGGGAATAGATGTTTTTTGTTGTCTCTTCTGATCTATAGGTGTAGTAGTATCCCCCCCCCCATGGAGTTACCCTTCTCTTTTGGCCCCGCCCATGGGGGGATACTACCGCACGAAAATACCATGACCCCCACACACACACACACCCACACACACGCTTAATTCCCGAAAATTCTGTACCCCGACCACGCTATATAGGAACAATGCTTACCTTTGTGTATACAAGAGAAGTTGTACATGAGTACATCGGGTGTTTGCATCAAGCACGTGCTACTCTCATCTTTCACAAAAGTTATTGGAGTGTCCTTTTTAAACTTTATTATACACGAGGATTGCCAATAGCAATTCAACATGGCCGACAGTATCGTATGCGGTAAACCATAGCATCCCTTTTTTGTGTTTTTACTGCGCATGGTAATATTATATATTACGTGATCTTCAATAGGACAACATAATGTTGTCTCGTTTTCACTTGTCACGTAGTTATAATCTGAAAGAGAAATTTAAATTAGTTAAGATTGTACAAACAATGTTTTCGGACTAATCTGATTCTTTAACATTCATTATGTCTTCGTGAGTGGCGTTCATATTAACAATGGACGAAGATAAGACGGATATTGTCCAATCTGGTTAAAACACAGATCCTATTTCGTTTCGTTTTTATAGTTCAAAATTTCGTTTTACTTGTCTTTACTACACTAGGGTCTGGAAGACTTGTTATCATTGACGCGTTCTGAATAGTGTGAGGTATTAGCCAATGAAACGGTCTGTTACGGCGAGCCGTGTTTTGCACGGAACTGTGGGTAATCTACTAGTAACATCAATGCTGATTGGTTAATCAGATGTCTGACATCATACAGTCAAAAGTTGCTCGTATGAACTCTGACGTTACCTATCGCAACAACCGGTCAGATCTTCGTGAAATGAAATGAAATGGTGGTTTAACGTCCTACTGTTCTACTCCTAAACTGGGCTAATGAAGACGGGCATACGCCGAACAGTGTGCTATGAGGGAAATTTTGCCCGGGCAGCGGCGCTACGGTCTACCCTTTTATCGAATTCCAACTGCCAAGGGATCTTTTACGTGCACGCCAATATGTAAACGGGACCTCGGTTTTTCGTACCATCCGAACGACTAGACAGCAGTCCTTGTCAGGCCTTCCGTCCTGCATCACTGACAAGGGGGAACCACGACGGAAAATCTGGATGAACTTTCTCGGCCAATGCCGAACACGATTTATCACTCGTATAAACCATATTTAAAGCAATCTGACTAAAATACAGATCTATATTTCGTTTCGTTCTTTTAAACTTTCGATGGCCTACACTACATGAAGATCTGACCAGTTGTACTGGGAGGTCGCGTAAGGTTTCATACGAGCGGATTTTGACCCTATGACGCCAGACATTGATTAATCAATCAGTGTTGGCGTTTCTAGGGGTTTACCCACAGTTCCGTGCAGAGCACGCCAAGAACTCGCCGTAACAGACCGTTTCATTGGCTAATTCCTCACATCAATTAGAACGCCTGTTATATAACAACTCTTCCAGATCCTAGTGTTGTGAAGACAAGTAAATCGAAATTTTGAACTATAAAAAACGAAACGAAATAGGATCTGTATTTATTTAAAAGGGGAATTATACTCTCGACCTAAGGGGGGCGGGGGTAGATGACTGAATGGTTAGCGCATGCGCGTTGTATCATAAGGTCTGTCATTGAGTCAACTAACATGGTCTCGATTCCCCGGTTGTACGTGACAAGGAGTAGGGTCGCCTGTCCAACCTCGTGGGTTTTCTCCAGGTCCTCCAGTTTCCTCGCACTGCTAAAGATCTCTACGCGCAAACGAATTATTGAAATAAAATTGAACTATATGTTAGTCCCGAAATTACCTAGTTTGTGTCGAGTGGACGTTAAACCCCATTTCTCTCTCACTCTCTATACTCTTGACCTAAATGCGAATGGCGGTGTAGCCCACAAGAAACTCGAGATTTTCCAAACACGGTTCCCGCTTGTCAGGTGTGCACTAGGTTGCCTAGAAGTTCGAAAAAACGAAGTGCACGTAAAATAACCCTTGCCGGATAGAATTTGTTGAAGGTTGGGCAAAAACGCATCCGTGGTCAAAGAAAGGAACGCATTATGTAAGGGCTAAACCTTTGCTGGTCTTTCTTTTAGTTTCAGGTATTATATAAACTGTTATTTAGACATTTATTCACATGACAAGCCCATACTCAACTCGCTAGATCAGTGGTTATCAACCTTTTTTTTGGCAACGGCACACCTTGGAACACATGAAAAAGTAGCGGTACACCTGGTTAAATATATATGAAAAATATTTGAATATTGCAAAATAAAATCATACAACCTAAGAGATTAGTCATAGAAACATAGAATGACTCAAATTAAATAAAGACAAACACAGCCATGACCTTATTTTATTGCAGTGTTTCGAATTTCATTAGTCAAATAGCTGGCTTCTTTAGTGAGGAATTTTCTTAGTGTGCCGTTCAAAATTTCGCGGCAAACTTAGGAAGATCTCGCGGCACACCTGTGTGCCGCGGCACACTGGTTGAGAATCACTGCGCCAGATCATCAGATGATTGAGATTTAAATGGATTAAAACATCTGCGAGATTTTAAATATTTAACAATAAAACGGATAACCGAGACTTATCCTCGATTGTCAAGTATTTTGAACTATTATAGCTCTTTACCTAAATCTTACATACTGCATCTTTAATCAATTAGTTTTAACACGACGAAACGTTAAAGATGGGTTCCCAGAAAAGTATTTATCGGGTGGTTATTTCCAATAAAAGTATGGTAATTTTGGTATATATGGAAAGTAGAGATATCCAATCTTACTAGAAAAATACTGGATTCCCCGAAAAACACTCATGGAGCGTATACAGGACAAAAATGTAAGGGTTCCCCTAATCAACAGCCCGGCGATTAGGAATTTCTGCACGCGTGATGTCAAAGGTCACACGCGAACATTGAGCTTTATGAAGTGTTAGACGTACAACACTTTCTAAGATAAAAATGACGGAAAAAGACGCGGGGAGTGGATATTCCGAGAATTTAATTAGGATTCGATATCTGTAATAAATAGTAAGCGATTAAAGACAACATCGTCTTATGTATGCAATGAATTCTCCTCTGACTTTCAAGAGAGGGTCGTTCGGATGGGACGAAAAACCGAGGTCCCGTGTACTCATTGGCGTGCACGTAAAAGATCCCTTGGCAGTTGGAACTCGATATAAGAGTAGGCCGTAGTGCCGCTGTCCGGGCAAAATTTCCCTCATAGCACACTGTATGGCGTATGCCCGTCTTCATTAGCCCAGGTTAGGAGCAGAACAGTAGGACGTTAAACCCCATTTCATTTCATTTCATTTCCAAGAGAGGTAAGTCACGTGACGTAAACATGACTTGGTTTGATCGAATTTTTATAGCAGGACATTCCTTCGCAATAACAATGTTTGAGAAGGATTGTAGCACTATGGCCCTTGAGACAATTTTGGCTCTTTATAAAATTGTCTCTTCAATTTGGTTTATAAAGTCAAATCATAAGTATTAAATGAACGTGGTTATAGTTGTTCGTAAAAAACAGTGATGTTTTAGTTAAATTATAATCATTGTCAAAATAGTCATCAAATTCTAGCTGTTTATTGACCTATGGTCGGTTGACCAAAACTAGGTAATGTTGCCTGTCTTGTTTGTGGGAAATATAGAGTTTTATTCCTTATATGGCGTGGAAATTCACGTCAAGGTTATTGAAGACCTGGGAAAGTAGGGGGTATAAATTAGGGTGTAGAGGAGAGCTAGATTAGAGCTCACCCAGAAATTCTTACCAGTCATTATATATTTGAGAACGAGGAACCTGCAAAGTTATTTCCAGTTTACTAATAAAGCTGTGAAATCATTGTTGCTGTAGTATTATTTACGATCACAAGGAACACAACAAATAAAGAAGTCCGGTAGTACTACAGTATTCATTTGGTGCTGTGATTCCAGAGGCAGATCGAGTTAGACAAATTTTTTTTGTGATTATCTCTTTTTCGATTTTTCACTAATTTCTATCTGTAATAATGGCTGAGGAATTTTATAGAAATTTAGGTGCCCAGTTGATAGGCTTGTCTTCCTCTATTTCCACAAATTCGGTAGCGAATATAATTGAACCATATAAAGGGGATCCCAAACTATTTAAGGAATGGATCAGAAATATCGAAAAATACTGTGTTCTTGCCACAGTGCCTGAAGACCGGGTAAGTTAGTTGCATTGCAATCTAGTAGGGGGGTTGTGAGTCATTTTATTCAAAGAAAAATGATAGCAGACGAGAATGTTACGTGGGCTGCTTTAAAACAAGATTTAATTGGTACTTTTTCGGAAATTACGGATACACAACAAGCATTGGCAATATTAACAAAAATCAAACAGAAACCCGAGGAAAACGTGCAAGTTTTTGCTGAAAAAATTCTATCGCTAGCCGCTGACGCATTTCCAGGATATGCCGGACAGCGGGAATTTGACAGGCAACTAATTAATTTCTTTGTAGATGGACTTCAGCACGAAAATCTCAAAACAAAAATTTTACGGGACGACCCGCAGACGTTCACCGCAGCCGTAGATTTGGCCAGTGCCGAACAAAATATTAGGAAAAGATTTGCGTTAAGATTAGGCGGGCAACACGCACAGGTATATACAAATAGCGCACATGAACCCATGGATGTCGATTATGTAAGAAATCGCACGCGTGGAATATGTTTTCGTCGTGGTCATGTAAGTCGTGAATGTCGACAAAGACGAGGCGTAAACGAGGTTAAGGCGAGTTTTCAGAGAGATTTGACTTGTTGGTTTTGTGGCATAGAAGGACATTTTAAACGTGACTGTAAGGAATGTGCTGACTATCTTAAATCAAATCCAAAATTTAAACGACGAGATACATCAGTTAAGCCTAAAACACTGCGAAAACGGGAAAACTAAGATACTCTTTTCGGGCGGCCTACGGAAGGAGTAGATATCAAAGGCCTTTGTCTGGTGTAAATGTTTCTGGATCTTCTAGTTCGTGTTTGATTAAAATAGAAAAACGAAATTTTCGATCATTAGTTGACACTGGGGCTCAAGTTTCTTTAATTAGTAAACAGGTGTATGATTCTTTAAAATATAAACCAAAACTGGACAAAAGTAAAATCATATTGCAGTCAGTAAATGGTATTGAACTCAAATTGGTAGGTTCTGCACACTTGGAATTTAAAACTAAAGGTAAAAATTTAAGACATGTGTTTCATGTTGTTTCCAATATGAATAGAAATGTAATTTTAGGTCGAGATTTTCTTGTTTCGCATGGCTGTAGGCTTTTCTTTGATTTAGGATGTATGAAAATAGGTAAAATGTATGTTTCCTTGGATAATGACGCAGTGATATCTTCTGTTTTGCGAGTAGCAAACGAGGTAATTTTAAAACCTCAGACACGGTATGTCATTAATGTGAAA